CCCCATAGGGTATATGTGTACAAAATATGAACAAAATCCGGCAAACGGTATTTGAGTTATTGCCTGAACGGACATACAGACGAACAGACGGACGGACAGATAGATGGACAGAGGCCCGTTCCCTATATCCCTCCGAAGTTCGTTCAATGGGATAACTATTTAAAATAAATTGTTAGGACATGATACTAAGCTTATAAAGTAAAAGTTTGATTAGTTACACCAATCATTGTGATTTTAGAGCCCATTGTTATCTCATTTTTCAGTTTAAATTGTATAAATCTTCTTGCTGTCAACGTATTTATAATAGTCTACACTTATTTAATGCCTGTTTATAATGATACCGACATTACTGTAATATTGAAATCATATAAGTAATAAAGATCCCCAAGTGGAGGTCAATGTCCCCTCCCCCCATTTGTGACATGGCGTTATACGAATTAGGTTGAACACATCAAGATGAAACCTGTTTTCATGATTTATAAACCTCAATGATGTAATTTAATCATAACAATGTACTAGCTTTTCATCTAAGAACTATCCGGAAAAATATTTAATATTTGTAAAATAGACCCCTGCTGAAATCGTTCATAAATGAAGTTCTGTAACTTTATATGGTGCTCAAAAATTCATAAATGGTCAATGCTATAATCCTAACTAAGAAAAGCAAATTAAAAACATTAGGCTGTAACAATAAGCTTTAAAAAAATTATCAAATGTTTGATGAGTTATACCCCCCACTGTGAACATGGATTCCATTTTGATCTAATTTTCAGCTGAAATTTTACATTATGCTCTTGATATATAATAATTCATGCTTTTTGTACTAATTTATTATCTATTCACAAGAAATCTTTTAAAACGATCATTTCTTTAAAAAATGGACCCCTGCTTAAATCTCAAATAAATGATAAACGGTAATGTTGTGTGATCCTCAACAAGCAATACCATATTCAGTGATATTAAATCTATCAATATAATCTGTAAAAATGATTGGAACTTGAACAGGAGGTAATTTTCAAATATTTGTCAATTCCTTTATCACTATTACATATGAATTGAAATATTTTAGTGAGGATGAGAATAAGAGTTTTTTTTATCATTTTTATTATCAATTTGTCACAGGACTTTGAAAAACAATTCTACTTATTAGGTGTGTCGCTCATTTATTTATCTTGATATACACTTTTATTATAGTGGCACTTTTTGTATGAAAAGGTGTATCGAGTTTATATACACACCAACACCCAAACCGAGTCACACTGAAAACTTGATTTTACTTGAAGTAAAACATTACTTCATTTTCTTCGTCCTTGACTGCATTTTACACTTCCTCTGACCTCTTAATTTCCTTTTAATCTTGGTAATAGTGTAATTGTTTATATACATGTAGTTGTAGTAGTGAAGTAGTAGTATTTGTTTATTAGAGTCTCATGGACATCAAGCCGTTGCCGGTGTGAAAGAAATGATGGTCCCCCAGGGATTATGGTCCCCTTTCTTAACGGCCCTTACTGGCCCTGATTGCGTATACGATAATGAGGGAAAGAGTTGTATTGAGGTCACCATATAAATCAATGGAGAGTAGGACCATAATTTGATAGAACCTCCTACCCTTTTACACCGGCTTAGGAGAGACTATAAAATTTATTACATTAAAATTCATTTTTAAAATGGTATATAAAATATAAATCAGTTTATCCATATTAAAATATTAATGTTCTTTTGTGTTTCATTATATTAATCAATGCATTGGCTAAAGTCCTATGTAGGTTGGAGTTCATAATGAGAGCATATTGAACAAGATTATTGCACTGATTAAAGTCACTATATAACATATTCATTTTGTTTATAAGTTCTTGCCTTTGTTGTTCATACATATTGCAAGATAAAAGAATGTGTCTTTCATCTTCAATTGAGCCTGTCCCACATGTACAAAGTCTGTTATCAATGGGAGTTGGTGGTCTACAGTATCTGCCAGTCTCTATATGGATTTTCAGTGTCCCTGATCTAAGCTGTGTGATCTATATTAGAGGAGTGCTTTAGTTCAAGAATAATGTACAGGGTGGGCCAAAAAACAATACCCAACTTTAAATCAGGATAAAAATAGTTACGTTCAATATGGCACATTGACTATAAGATATCATTTTAAAGGTAATACATTTTCAAACAATTTGGTATATAACGCTATGTCATGAATCAATAGTTAAAGTATATTATCCTACTTATTTGGGGGGGGGGCTGGGCTGCTATTTAAAGTCTCTAGATTTTAGGGAGAAAACAGTAAATCTGTGGAATTATGTAAACTTTTTATTTATAGAATATCATTTTGTCAGGTCTCTAGATTTTAGGGAGAAAACAGTAAATCTTTGGAATTATGTAAACTTTTATTTATAGAATATCATTTCTTAGGTGAATACATGCTTGTATATTTGCACCAATTGTGACTAAACTTATTGTCTATGAGTTTTAGTGTTGTTTACTATCAACAACATGGTGTTCTGGTCCTTGATTGTGATATTGGTTCTCGATTGGAGGGGGGGGGGGATGTTAGACATTGTTTCTTTTCACGTTAGATCATGGTTTTGGGATATATAGGGTCTACTTTTGTTATGACAGATTTACACTTACAGTTTGCTTTTCTTGTTGGGTTTCTTAAAAGTTTTCAGTCACCCTTCCCTTTGGTATTTGTGCTTATATATCAATAAGTACCAAAAAGAGGTCTGTTATACACATATTTGGCGAGGATTTGATTTTTCAACAAGACAGTGCTTCTTTCCAAAGATCAAAGGAGACCTTAGAATTTCTTCACGAACAATGTGTCAATTTGATGGATCCAGATGTTTGGCAGCCCATCAGCCCCAATGCTAATGTGGTGGATGTAATGATATACGTGTAATGTGTGAACAATCACCGGGATTGTTATTTGATAAACGTTTCGTCCAGTACCTACATCCGGGATATAAGAGTGAGAATAAACGCCATTACAAATGAACCCAAAGTTTTATGTCTGTTGTTATTAAACCAAATGATCAGTTCGCAGTGGATTACCATACATGCAGCCATCGGAAATGGTGTACAATCACAAGCATCCAATAATGATGCAATGGTGCAAATATACAAGCGTGTATTCACCTAAAATGATTTTCTATAAATAAAAAGTTTACATAATTCCACAGATTTGCTGTTTTCTCCCTAAAATCTAGAGACCTTAAATAGCAATCTGGTCTTTCAAATAAGTATAATAAACCTTAACTATTGATTTTATGACAAAGTGAAATATACCAAATTGTTTGAAAATATTTAACCTTCAAAATGATGTATAAGGCAACGTACCAAATTGAACGTAACTGTTTTTATCCTGAGTTGAAGATTGGGTATTGTTTTTTTGGCCCACCCTGTATTTTCATTACTTAATTCATTTTCATTTTCAAATAACTTAAAAAATGTTTAAAAAGATTTTTTTTAATCGTTGTTTCACTAAAATAGTCAGAAATATTTTGGAATACTGTGAGTATATTTTAGGAGATAGGGTTATTTCATAATTCATCAAAAGAGAAAAGGCATCTCTAAATAAATAATAATCATACATCAACAAAAGCATGAAGTAATTTGTATTTATATAACGAAATAATTTATTCTTTCTATCATGATAAATATGTTATTACATACAACAGAGACTTGTTCATATTCAGTCATTATTTCATAAATTAGCAGTGTAGGAACATGAGGAAGCTATATACAATGTTTGAATTTATAATTAAGTTTTACATCATGCTAATGTAAGACATATAGCAGTTAAACACTGTACAATTGTGCAGCAATATTAATGTTTGCATATTTTAAATAATACCACAGGCTGCACTTGTGTTGCCAGTTTATGTTATATTTAAAGGTTCTGTCATTTAAAGGTTGTGTTTAAAGTTTATTTTAAAAAGGGAAGATGTAATGATTAGCAATGATCGATCCCTAAGTAGAAAAAACATTGACAGGTCTGGACTTCCTGAGTGAGGCATCTGGGAAACTGCATGGCTTAAAAAATAAAAGTTCTAAATCTGTAAATCAAGTTTGTCACTTACTGACTCTATATAGACAAACATTACACACCCCCTGCCATAAATTTGGCAACCGCCTTTTTATATTTCACAATTAAAAAAAGATAATCAAATCCATCATAAACTATAATATTGCAATAGATAAACAAAAAAGATCCAGACATTAAAGTTCAAACTTGAACATGCTTCCAAGTGAAGACTTCCAGATGCCAAACTTATGGACAGGAGTGTAAACTTATGGGTTTCTGAAATGGTGTAATAAAGGAACGGATTTAAATTACACACTTAAACACGCAATTAAAATAAGCCTTCCCGTTCAAAAATCTATATACAAGGCCAGGATACAAGGCTAATTAGAAGTCATTTATGTTCCAAGTTGAGATGTATCACATTGAAATAGTGCCGGTGTAAAAGGGTAGGAGGTCCTATCAAATTATGGTCCTACTCTCCATTGATTTATATGGTGACCGAAATACAACTCTTTCCCTCATTATCTTATACACAATCAGGGCCAGTAAGGGCCGTTAAGAAAGGGGACCTTAATCCCCGGGGGACCATCATTTCTTTCACACCGGCGCAATGATATATATTTATAAACAAAGTGATTGAACTATGAATTATGTGATGCAAACAGGTATTCTGAGTTATATATTTGCAAGAATAAAGTAAGACTAAGTGAAATTAATGATACACATATATATCTTGACTATCATAAATTTAATGATTATAGAAAATTATGAAGCCAGGGATTGTATCAGTATATCAAAATATACCAAGGCGCAAAATAACTACACTTGGAAGAAAAGAGTAGAGTGTAGTGCAATTGTACTGTCTAATTGGCTTACGTATCACTGATTTTCTGGTTTTACATACAGCTCTCCAAGCAAACGTTACTTTATTTTTATGGATAAGGGGGTCAACTGTATATGTGATTTATTTCATGATCAGTCTGTACATTGGTGTTTTGATATTATCCCTTTAAAGTTAAGCTATATAATACGTGTACTCGCAGTGCATCTCAGTTGTACAACGACAACAACGTCAACAACAACAACATCATGAACATGATTTTGCCGGCTCTTGCAGTGCTCTTGCTTTGTGTGGCACAAAGCAATGCTCAATGTAAGTACATTATTTAATTCCTACAATTTACATGTTTATACGCTAATAGGGTTTGGAAAAATTTCCTTTATTTTTTCTACTTAAGGTTTTATATAGAATAAAATAATTAGAGAAATGTTGCGATAGGAAAGCACAATCAAGTCCCCTTAGACTTTTTTTTGCATGTTGAGCCGTAACATTTAGAATTCACCTATCACCTATTCAACTCGATTGCCGCGATCGATCCCAATTGTGTTAAATTATGACAATTGCAATTGGTTGTTCTGTTTGATTTTCTCAATATATCGCCAATACTATACCCAAGTTGGTCTCAAGACATATCTCAGTTATTAGTAAGATATTGTATAAGCAATTATAATGGGACATCATTGATTGTCCGGGAGAGAAAATTATTTTATTTAAGTGTCATGGGGGTCATTAACAGAACTTTCGCAAAGTTACCAATTCGTAATTCGTAACTTTATGAAATTCGTAAATATTTAAAAAGTTACGAATGATTTACGAATTCATAAAGTTACGAATCGGCCATTAACAGAACACTTTCGTAAGTCATTCATAGGTTTTATCGTTCGTAAACGAATTTCAAATTGTGACGTCATCTTATATCATTATTTAGCACAAATAAAAATATGATGTCATTTGATATCATTGCGCGCTGTGATCAAACCTGTCTCCGCGATTTCAAAGATTCCCAGCTCAGGAACATATTTGCTTATCATGTAAGAATAGGTAGATATTTTAGCTTGAAACTCAGCATGCGTATAGAGAACAATTTCTTTTTGCCAACCTGTATACCTTACATAAGAATTGGATGAGAAATGTGCCATTCGCAAAGTTATGAAAGGGTCTGAGGTGCTATTAAAGTTACGAACGAAAGCATACGTGACGTCATTTTTTCGTAACTTTGCGAATCGTTCGTAACTTTACGAAAGTTCTGTTAATGCACATTTACCAAATTCGTAAACTTAACAATTGACTTGCGAATTCGTAACTTTACGAAAGTTCTGTTAATGACCCCCAGGTTAATAAATAGTACACTAAAGTTTCGTCAAATAACAATAACCCAGGCATATCTAAATGTATTATGGATACTGTGAACCAGTACGTATTGAATGCATTCTTGGTATTAAATAAATTATGATCTTTTTAATACAAATGGCTCCGTATGACAGTTTTTATTTCAAGGATCTAAATTAATAATTCACATGATTTATACCATTTATACATGTACGTAGATGTTTGAAAAATTCTTCCGAAATGATATTTATTTTTATTGAGAGTTTATGTAGAAAAATGATTATCAATTAGGAGTTTTAATATTCAATTAATTTCTGCAACGTTTAGGCAAAGAGTGAGACATGTTTTATATGTCTGGTTTAGGGGACGGCAGCATGCAAAGATGTATCTCCTTGGAATGATTAACTTAATTATCTATTTCAGATTTCTGGGTTAACATGCCGAGCAACACCTGCATTAAAGATCATAACGATAAAACTTTTTCCTCAGTCCCAGATAGACAGGCCTGTAGGCAGAAATGTGAAGATGAAACAACATTCACATGTATGTCATACTATCAATTCTTCAGTAAAAATGCTCAATTTTGTAATGATACTGAATATTCAATCATTTGAAGTTAACAAACAACTCCAAGTCCCGTCCCCCCTGCTGCAGCTAAAAACCTTAATAGATGGTACCTAGTGTGATATACCCTTGGAAAGATCATCCGAAGTTATGTTAACTCACCAACTGTCCAGGCTGAACTGTCAAGTATTTTGAATGAAATTCACCTATATTTTTATGATGTCCTTTATGTAGTTACAGTACCCTCCATAAGCAGCTTTCATTGCGTCAAAATGAGAAGGATATGACCTCAGAAATATGTCAAAAAGTTAATCTTTTTCGCATTCAACTTGAAACAAAAAGGTTTTCACCATTTTTCCATTCACCTCTATTTTCTACACATCTAACCCCCGGGATCTAACCCTATCCAGAAATTCCTTGAATTCATTACCATATGCATATGCAGTCATCTTTAGGTCCTTTGACTTTTCTTATACCCGATTCTTAAAATCCTGCCAAATTGCCATGTTTCTTGGCCTATGGTCACCTCAATTGATATAATGTAAAACTTTGTGAGATTGATTGACATGTGTCAGATATATGCATATCAACGTAACTTTGGAAGACCTTTCCTATGATATATCACACTTGGTACCATATAACTTGGTCTTGGCTGTAGAAGGGGGGGGGGGGGCGGGACTTATTTGACACCCTGCATATTCTAACGTATAGACGTCTTTATAAAAATATCACACTTATGGACGTATAGAGCTGCGCATGATGATTTAATCAAACGCTTCATAAGTTAAACGTTTTACAGGAATAATAAACATGCTAAGTTGATTATTGCAATTGATGAATACACAAAACTATCAGATGGTTATGACAAGTATTTGGCTTGTTTATTTTTCGAGCTAACTGTGAGAATTGTAATATTTGAACAAGTTTGAGTTCGGCATATTCTAAAAGGTGTACTGGTTCCAGTTTAGTGGCCTCTTTGGCCCTAATCCATTGTTTAGTCACTATGTGATTGAATTGACTAAAAGGTGGACTTATGTTGCGGCAACTGTTCAGATATTTTGAAAGAAGAACGACTAAAAAGTGCTCCCGAAATGCAGTATAAAGGGTTAATCAAAATGATGGTACTGAGTGATTTAACCTGCCATACCATCCATACAATAATTATGATCTACTCTAACATTTCTTCAATTTGAGTATAGCATACTTTGAAAAGATCAGAAAACTATTGCTAAATCCAACAAAAGGCAGCAATTTTGAGTATAAACGTCCAAAATTTCAAACAGTAATATCAATTACTTTGGTTGAAACTTAAAAACGTTTTTGCGAGATATCTTTAAAGCGGCAGCGATCTTTTTTACATAAAACTTTTCACCAATATACATCTTGCGGCCTCACATGAAAAAATCTGTCTACACTACATCTGGCTACACTACATCCCTATCGAAGTTCTTTAAATAGATTTGTTATAAGTTGGTAAAAAATGCTTGAGGTCATTTTTTAGTCAAAATACGTGCAGAAAATTTAAAATGTGACTCCCCTACCCTATGGAGTATCAAGGGCTAAGTCTATTGTTCATGTTGTTAAGTAATTTCCCAGGGAATGTCGAAAATACGACCCAATCAAGAGTCCAGTCCACAGAACCCAGTCCACTTTTTAAAACATGCCTTTGATTTCAAGCATTGTAAAATATGATCTATAGTTAATTTTTCCACCTAAAAGTATATTTACATGTACAGGAATGAAATAAGCACATTACCAAATATCGATCGAGTTTTATTACATTTAGGTAGGTCCATAGATTACGCAACAAGTACTGGCCAATGCCACCTTTCTGTCTCATATACTGGGAACGTGCAAATAGACGCCCCATGTGATCCTGTCTTTCAGTATTCCGAGAGACGAGAACGTAAGTTTTTCAATTTTATCCTATGAAAGCAAAACACCGATGTCTACAGGGTGTACCCAAAAGTATATCAAGAGCACAGATAAACAAATCAATATTTTCAGACATGTTTTGCATGGTCACGTAGCTAAAACATGAAAGTTTTCTCCCCAATACACCATTTTATTTCAGTCTTGTCTTTTTGATGCTTTAACCCTTTACATTTTACACCACATAATCGATGCTACCTCATATTTCGATGACAGCCTGTATCCTTACTGCTACAGTAACATTGTTCATCACATTTGATAATAATTCCGGTGGAATGTTTTGGATTTCTCTTTGGATGTTGCCCTTAAGCTTAAGTTGGTATAGGTCTTTTTGCTTGGAATGAGCATTAAAACATACCTTCAAATAGCCACAGAGAAAGAGGATTGAGGATGACGATGACAGAACAAAGACAGATAATTAGGTCAATTATCAGCAAATAATTCAGGGGTTACCTTCCAGAGTTAGACAGGCTAGCCTGGAGACCAAATTATATCCAAATGAAAACACAGTGGTCTAAAATTGATACACACGACAAAAGCTACACTAGAAACCCAACCAATGCAGTTTTTGAACCTCTGACTTCTCTGTATAAGGGGGCTATAAGACATTGTGAGGGCCTCCCTAGTCGCCATATTTGACGGCCTATACTTTTTTCTCTGAGGCTATTTGAAGGACCATTTTTATGCTAAACCCAAGCTAAGAGACCCAGAACAACTTAAGACCAGCATCCGAACAGAAATCAAAACATTCCACCAGGAATATCAAATGTGATGGACAATATGTAGTAGTAAAGATGCAGACTGTCATCGAAATATGAGGTTACATTGAATATGTGGTGTAAAAGGTAACGGGTTAAAGTATCAAAAAGGCAAAACTCAATTAAAAACTGTGTATAGGGGAAAAAACTTTCATCTTTTATCTACAAGATCAGTGCAAAGTGTCTGAAAATATTGATTGGTTTGTCTATGGTATTGATGCAACAAATCTGGAAGATTTATTTTATCAAGAGAAAGTTTCAAATGGAATTAAAAAATGAATAGGCGCACGGTTTGGTTAAATAAAAAAATATGTTAGATCTTCCATGATTTTTTGAACCGATACGCTTCTAAGATATATAAAATCTATTAAAAAAGACGCAACGATACCAACGTTCACACGTCAAAGTTTTTCTAGTTCTATAAATCAATGCAAGCTTATATATATATTACTATCTAGCAATTGACTAAAATAATCAAAAGGGACGGAGGGGGGGGGAGTAATGTCTATAAGGTGTAACAGATTCACACGAATTCTTGTATTTGAAAAATGAACTAGTAACTCAGTAGGAACTGGATGCTACATCTCTAATGAGTGAACATGGGGAAAAAGTTCTTATCATGTCTTATAAGACATATTACCCCCTCTCAATCCCATCCCCTCCGTACCATTTTAGTTATTTTCGATTATTTTTACACAGAAGATAAGGGCTTCTTGTTTAGAAGTCATTTTGTACTTCTTTCCTATACTGTAATAGACATTGACCATATGAAAACATTTTCCTGTGTTTTGCTAAATATGTAAAGTATATAATATATATGATTGTAGCTACCATATCAGGAGAGAAATAGTCTGGCAAGGAATGTTCCTTTAAGTCAGCAATGATGTTAATTTTGTAATTGTAACGTCACTTTTAGGCGTTAAGTACAGGTCGTGTAGACAATTGTTGCTTGATTTATAGCAAAATCATTGACTTAGCACGTTGGTGACGATGCGCCTTTTCTTATAGATCTCAAAATCCCAGAAGATCTGACATATTTTACCATACCGTGTGCCTATTCATTTAGCGATTCAAACTTTCTCTTGAAAAAATAAATCTCCCAGATCTGATGCCACATCAACCGCCGTTCATTCTGTCACGTATATTAAACATGAGTATTTTAAACCAAGACGAATATAAACCTGTGGCCGCCATTTGTGACAAGGTTATCTGACTAAACCGTTGTCAGTGTGTCCTGGTGTGTCATATACAGTTACTCGACAGCTATACTCATTATAAATCGACACATAAATAAACAAAATTCCTTTTTAGTCATTTATTCAAAGATCAAATTCACAGTACAGTCAACAAAGAGACAACTTCACGTCTTGCTGTTCGTTTAAAATGTATGACACCGTGAAATAAATAGTACATACTTTAATGTAATTCAAATCTCACTCACAATCTCTCACGTATACGGATTCGTGAAAAAATTACCCGTCTCTATTATCGAACATACACGTTAACATACACGTTAAGTCAGATGTGACAAATTGAGCTAAAGTTACATAATTTGTAGCGCGCGCAAATAAAGATAGCATGGTAATCGATCTATGTTTATTTATAAGAGAAAAATATTTACTGGATTCTGTTGGTGCTGCCATCTTTATATCGCCCCAGAACCTATGGTATATGTCATTCAAACTCAAAGATAGTTGAAGTGACCTCAATTTCGTAAAACGTCTAATTACATCCTTTTTAGCATCATGCTGGACCTGGAGTAACCTGGACAACACATGCATAAAAGGTCAAAACATAGCTACATTTACGACTTCTTCAATGTGTGAGTGCAAAGAGAAATGTACAAATTATGTTCCGACGACGTGTCGATCAGTTGACTATAAAGCATCAACCCAGACTTGCTATCTTCAAGCGGTATATTCCGAAACAACATTAATAAGCAGTCCTTGTTATTTACCTGGATTTGTCAATGCAGAGAGATTCCCTTGCTGAATCTGGATACGATTATGGTATTGATACAAATGATACACAAAGAGAGTTGAAATGAAATTGTAAATCTGAAAATGTATTAAATAATATGTTGAGATTTAGAAATTTTGCTTTTTTGTTAATACATTTTACATTTTGTAGTTTTTTCCTGAAACATTTTGAATCTAGAATAACCAACTAAGTTGATTATCTGATTGTATTTCAATGATGATATATACTCTCATCAAACATTGTTGTAAACTGTTGTAAAATAATGATGATCAAAAAGCCTTTCTCTTATGCACAGAAGCGAGAACTACAACAAGTGTGTAATATATGTTTCTGAGAGCTAAACAAAAAGGTTGAATCAAGAATTGAGTCAAGCTACAGCAACCTATTTGCGAGTATAACAACTTTATCACAGTCATGTTCCCTTAAAGTTGTAAACTCGGCTCAGCATGTTGGAATACCACTAGTTAGTACAAACGTACATGTAAATATGCAATATCTTGTGCAAGGAGAAAATTTTGTTCACTGTCAGGCCTAGGCAATGGGTGTGGTGGAGTACACCCCCTACTTGGATCGGTCTTTCTCCTACCCAACTCTGACGTATATGTATGGGTGGGCAGTTATACCTTACACAAACAATGATATTAATCTAATGGAAGGACTGCACAAAGAGATCGGAAAACGCATCCAGACACTGCCAAAGAATACACCGGACCCTGTTGCCACAAGTTTGCTTGGATGGATGTCTGTTAGAGCAGAAATTGACTGTGATAGATTAATGGTTTTGTCTTAAGATCATTAAGTCTTAGTTTATGTTGAATTATAGATGAATTAATTCATGGGTAATATTGTCGAATACACCCCGCAGGGCAAACGTTTTCTGTACCCCGAACGACCGATGAATCTTAGATATGGTTCATAGGCATGGTAAGATATTACCATCAATCATAAAATATGACTTTTATATATCCCTTAAAAACAGGATCTTAAGAGGTTCTGGACAAATCATTTGATTCTGGACTTGACATATTTTTTTCCAACGAAATCACATCCAAGGGTTGAATTTTTTTTGGATATTTAGAGAGCGAGTCCTGTATTGATTTCAATAAAAAGGTTAAAATAGAACGCTATTTGAGAGTTAATCTTATACTTTCATTACATTGATAAATTAAGGCAAATTCTGAAAAATTTTAAAGTGCATTTTTTATGAAATATTATCCAAGTATTTAGATGAAACGGTCTTATTTAAATACAAATCATAACATGATGATATTTTTTCATAAAATATTTCTTCAAGAAATTCAATTGAAGGCTTAAGATAAAACGAGCTAATTTAGGTGAAAACCCTTACATGATGATGTGTTTTCATGACTTCTTTCATAAAATTCCATCAAGGGGTGAAAATAAAATGATCGAATTTAAGTGATTTAAGGATCACGAGGATAGGTTTTCTTGGATATTTTCTATGAAATCCCATCCAGTGGTCAAGGTAAAAATTTTATTTGGTATATTTGGTCAAGTGTTCGAACCCATAGAACCATATAGGAACGTCATTTTGAATGTTACGTGATAAATCCATATAAGGCTTTTAGAACAATGTGGGGAAAGATGAGGGGAAACCCCTGACACCTGTTCACGATTTTATCCGAACGTTCATCGGATCATTTCGGTTTTTATGCACTTCATTATTTTACCGAAGTTTGCCGATTCGATTCGTCGTATTTCGGAATATTGGGGACAATTTTATACTCCATTGGGAGTATTTTTAATCTACTTCTTATTACGAAGATTCCCGAACCTTGTTCGGATTAATCCGGATTTTCTTACCTACTTCATCTACCGAGATTTAACGAGTTTACATTCGGCTCATTTCGGAATCCTGGTGACAATTTTATACTCCATTGGAGTATTTTTGATCTACTTCTCTGGATTTTTGATCTACTTCTTATGACGAAGATTCCCGAATCAGTTCGGATTAATCCGGATTTTCTGACCTACTTTATCTACCGAGATTTAACGAGTTAACATTCGTCTCATTTCGGAATCCTGGTGACAATTTTATACTCCATTGGAGTATTTTTGATCTACTTTTTCTGGATTTTGCCCTACTTATTATAAGTTGACAGCAAGCAAATCAAAAAGTTCGCCATGAACGGGTTTCGATCGACTAACCTAGAGAGTGAAGGCTAAACACGCTAGCCATGAGGCTAACGTTCACCTGTGTGAGATGATAAAAGTATCATATATTTATACCGAGCGTCAATTTAGAATGATCTTCGCTTTTGACTCCACTTAGATACAACTCGTCAGTTGTATCCAGAATAGGTGAACGCCTATGGTGTTAGTGAATAACCAAATCCCAGGCGAGTGGTTCGTATCCCACCGTGATATGTTATTTTTGCTTTATTAATACGACAGAAAGGAGCAAGGTGTAGGTTTGAAAACAAGACGTACGTTTATTTCAATACAGTTTTAGAAACATTAACCTCTGATAATTGAAGGATTTCCACTTCTGAAGCGCGACTAGATCTAAGAAGTTCATTAATCAAGACAGTGTAAACCTTTTAGATATATGTTAGACAATGTACACGCCCCGTGTGGAATCAACTAAATGTTACATTTTGGATTTCATTGAGATCCTGTCATAGTCCTAAAATTTATTTTTCTGGAACATCATTTTTTCAACACTGATACAAATTTCCCTGACATTTCCATGACATGTCTACAGTTTCAAAATTCCCGGACTCTTTGGCCCTTTTTGACCTTATTTTAAAATTCTCTGACATTTCAGGCACTTGGAAAATTAAATCAAAACCCTGACATTTCCAGGTGTGTACGAACGCTGGAATTATTCTTAAAATATCCTTCAAACAAAAGGGGAAAATGCTATGCACAAATACTCTAATTTAGTTTGTATTGTAATGCGTTGTATTACATTGCATTGCATTGTATTGTGTATTTATTTGAGTGTCCGTTGACGGTAAAGAAGGCATTTAAAAGTTATTTGTGAAACTTAATAAACTTAATAAACAATACTTTAACAGTATTCTGTTATGGCAAAGTATATTTCATTTCACACCCGTTTGTTTGCGTGGCATATTTATACGTATACGCACTTTCTCTGATTATTGTCAAACAAATACATTTCAGGAGAAGAACATAAAAAACAAATGCATGAAACGAATGCCGAAACATAAATCCCAAGTGATTAAGTATAGAATGTTTTATTCTTTTACGATTTGATAAGAGACCGAGACTAAGAAATTAAATGCGACGAAATACTTTGACAACGTAATTTGTATACTGTTTTATTCTTAAAGTTCTATGCGATAAATTATTTTATCTGTTTCAAAATGTTTCATTTTATTTTGCCTATATAAAAGAGATTGAAGAAGATAAGATAAACTGTTCCGTAATATATATTGTGTTTTAATAACCTTTTTTTAGAATCACAATGTAAAATAAATCTCCCGTTCCTGCCATTCTGGTAACGCCATGCAATGGATGCAATTCAAAGTGAGAGAGAGATCTATGAATAACAGAATGCGTCCATGCCATTAATTTGGCCAAATACATGGCATGAAACTGACGTAAGTTTAAGTAAGCTACGCCCCCCGCTTTCTCTGGTAAATTATGACTTTATTTTTCGGAGTAATGGGTTTCGGACAACTGGGTTTCGGAGAACTGGGGTGTACCCGATTACGCTTTGCACGCCGCTTTAAAATCCCGATGTCTCCAGAGGTAGTTTAATCCGGTAGCCGACAGGCGTTTCTTGCATTATTGAATACAAGCTAACCTTATATTCGCGAATGCAACTAACGCCTTCCGGCTACCTGATTAACCCAGTATAATATGACCAAGTCATTTAAATATGAATGGAATAGTGGCAGGTACTATTCGTATTGACATGAGTTTCCAGTAAAATAATAGGTTAATCCGGTAGCCGACAGGCGTTAGTTGCATTTGCGAATACAAGCTAAGACTATGATTTGGGAATGGAAGATTTCAGCTTCCGGATTAACCTACCATTCTATGGGCGACTCATTTAAATATGAAAAGAACCTGACAATATTCCATTAATATTTTAATGAATTGCCCATAAAATAGTAAAGAAGGTTTATCCGGTAGCCGACAGGCGTTAGCGGCATTCGCGAATACAAGCTCCTTTATTTCATAATTTGGGAAATATATATTTTCACAATATTGAAATAGATGGTGGTTCAAAGTGGAATACATATCATACAAGTGTCACAGATATTTTTAGTGCATATATGGTCTGTCTTTGCATGACTTTGTAGAACATATCAAAACCCTGGGATCCACAGGGTAACAGTAAGTACATTTCGTTAGATCTTCCGAAGTTCATGCTTCAAAGTTGTCAAAGTTGTAAAAGGGTAATCCTTTTTTGAGTACGAAAGCGTACTTTTTGTTCAATAGCCTTTCCCAGCTGCTAATCTTTTGAGTGCATCGTGCATTCAACGAATTGTATTCACTTATTAACCAATCAGTGCCAGGAACAAAATGCACGCTTACTTTTTGGGCTAAGTTTAGTGTTTTATGAAGCATGCTACATACAAATGTTACGCTTTTGCTCATTTACTTTGAGAACTATCTATAGGTACACATTACCAATTGACTCCTAGATTTGAGTGAACAAGTACCTCGTATTTTTCATTTTTCGATATTTTGAGATTTGTTGGCTGATGAGTAACTTGATATTTTATGTCTAAATATATTAAAGTTGTTAATAGTAATAGTTTTATTGTACACCATAAACTGTTAACGTTTTAGAATTGGGACACAATATATGATTTGATAATAGAACAATACATGTATATGTCTTACTCTAAACTCGGTGGTTTGTTTGTTAGTATGTTTTCTTAACAGCTCAATAACTGTTGTATTAATAAGGCGTTATACTATGAAAAAAAGATTGAACGATGTAGGCATAGGCAGAGGGAGTATCACACTACCCTACCACGTGAACACATTTAAAAAGAATACAGGGTACAGTTAAGTTGCAAATAGAGCGGGTATTCTTTGTCCTTTTCCATAGGACTTTTCTGGTGATAGTGCGTTGCAAACTGCTCGATGAATCTATACAATGTAAAATCTAGTATTCCTCCAGAACTATGGAAATAAACAAAGGTCCTCCATTTGCAGCTTCACTGTAGCCTGTATTCCTTTTAAAGAAATACGGGCTACAGTATTGGGGTATAGTAGTTTGATTTTTCAATATATCACTAATCTAGCTTCTTTCCTTGAAAAAACATGAGTTTTGATGTACGTATATCAAACATGGGCATCTGCACTATATTGAACCAGGGTGCCGGTGTTACATAATGTGATTTTATGGGCCATCATACAACCACCTCTTGCCCACTTTATTCATGTTTTGGATTACAGTTTATACACAATGCATAAACAGCATGAAACAATCATTTCTACTTGTGGATTAGATTTGTATACATCTCTTTGTGAACTGAGTGTTATGTTCAATATGTGAAAATATCATGGACTTAAATTGTACTTATATTTATAACCTGACCACATTTGCATATGTTCAACAACTGACTGAGTGATCGAGTTCATCAAACAATGTTCGTAATAGAGGTCATGAACTTTGCTTTATTCATAATCCTATTTCTGCAACTGACTCATATTATGCATCTTATTATATAATATTATATGATTTATTTTGATTAGCAGTGTCTCATAAGCCATTGGTGGCTCGAGGCTTTTTGGATGATTGTACAGATGTATATGTATGAAATTAAGCATGCGACACTTAAA